CACGAAAAACAGATTTTAGTGGTGCGCTTTCATTGTCCGAATCATCAGATTTTATATCCTTTTTATATTTCAATATTTGTTCATGAATACTGTGCGCAATCATCGTAACAAATTCACCACCAATTCCAAGATCTGCAACTAAGATTTTACTAAACTCCTCTGGAGTCAGATCCGAACTCAAATCCCATTCGAATCGATCACGAAGATTAAGTCTTCCAACATGAATATCAAGCTGAATATTGAAATATTTTTATTAATAACTCATTTGGTAAAAGCATCATCTATTTCAAATAGATAAAGATGACACACATTAATTGTAACCCTAGTATCTTCCGTGGAGACATTACTTTCCGCTACAGGCTCATGTTCTTGAATTTGTTTGCGTATAGAGTCCGCGATAAGAGGAGCGAATTCATTTATTGGAAGATCAAGGTCATAGCACATTATTTCAGCAAAGTGTTCAGGAACAATTAATTTTTCTAAAAGAAAGATTATTTTAATGAATTTTTTTCCTTTTTTTTGTTATAACTTAATCACGAATCCATAGACATAATGCGTCTTTACCATTAAGATTCCATGTAAATGTATCCCGCAATTTATGCGTGTCCAAGTCAATATCTAATCTAATAGGAATTAAAATCTCTCTTTGTTCGGCATTGCGATCTAATTCTTTCTGAGAGCTAAAGAAAAGTTCATAAAGGCAATTAGCGGTGATTTATGCATAAAACAAAATATAAGACTTACTTGTATATATGTCTAGTCCTATTTCTCTTTCGTTTTACTACTGGAATTTCCCCGTTAACAGTAGTAAACCCAACTGCTAGACGTTTTTCCGCTGGAGGAGTTCCTCTATCATCATCTTCAAATAATTCTCCTATGCCATCGGAATCTTCAGTGCTGTGCCCTCCACCACGCTGACGTTTCTTTCCGCCTCTAAGTTGAACAGGAAGTACTAAAGCGGTAGTACCTTGTCTTAATCGACTAGCATATGTGCTCCAAAATTTGCGCCTTGAAGCCGATTTTGTCGGCTTTGCTACTTCATAAACTATATCAATGAAATTCAATCGCTTTGTGGTGAGAACTGAGAGCTTAAATTAAGGCTCTTAGTTTGGTTGCTGTGAATAGAATATACCTTGTCGCGTTGTCCTTCGTGGAGCTATAGGTGTATTAAAAGTTGGATAAGATGATTTGTATACAGAAGTAGTATCATTTTGCTGAGACGTTGCGTAAGGTGCCGCGTAATGAAGAGGCGCGACTTGTGGCCGAAGCATAGCTAAGGACTGATTGTAAGAATAATATGGAGTAGCACCCATGTACTGGTGCATATAAGGCGGTACCTGGTGCTGTTGCGAGTACGCAAATGCTTGTGATTGCTGATGGTTGTTAACGGAAGATTGAAGGGTGTAAGAGCTATAATTCGTTGAATTACTCATTGTATAAATGAATCTTAGAAACTGAAACACGGTTGACAATATAATAAACTGGAGAAATGAAATGTTGGACCGCTAATTAGCCAACTTGTGATTTGCGCAGATCCATAATAATTCCGGCCACCATAAGCTTGATGTAACCAATAGTGACTTCTGATCTATAACCCTAATGTTCGTCGTCAAATTATCGTTATTATTTGATTTAGAGGGTTTGGCAATAAATGAATGGATATCCTTGTCTCTAGTTGCGATTGTATGAATTTAGTTGCGCATATCAATATGATATAAGCAAAATTTACAAAATTTATTTGTAATGCATTTTAGATTTTAGTTGCAAAAACATATACAGTTGACTTTAAGTGCAAGCTGTTGGGGTATAAAAACATTTAATCAATATATATAAAAAAAATAAAATCTTGCATCTAAAGAGAAAGAATTTGGGATTAAAAAAGGTCTTGTATTTAAAGCAAATTTTATTAAAAGTTATATTTAGAAAACGTGTATTTAGACAAGTTAATTGTATTAAAGTTTTGTATATAATATTTATAATAAACTACAAAACTAATTATATAGTTTTATATATAACCTGGTTAGATTAAATTTTAAGAACTTATAAAAAATCTTTTTGAATGGGCTTGGTATTAAGAAAAGAAACCAAATAGATAATAAATTTTATAATAATATAAATTATAAAAAAATATAAACTTTAAAAAATTACATTGCGGCATGGCCTTACCGTAAAAATTAAAAAAAAATTATATTGCAAGAATAGTATTTGTTTTTTCAAGTAAAAAATATTTTTGAATTAGTTGAGTTTAAAAAATCAAAAATAAGATTTTTAAAAATATTATTATTTTTTTTTTTTTTTACTTTTTGATAATCTTGCTACGGTGCGCGACACTTAAAGACTACACAAACTTTAAAAGCTAATAACTTATGATCTAAAAAAGATATTTTAAAAAGGAAGCCGCT